CGTGGCTTCCACACCCGGGGGAAGGCTGCGAGGAGAGGGGAGGGGAGGTGAGGGCTGCAGCACCGACCCAGGGGATGCAATGCTCAGCCCCAAATCGCTGCCTCTCCCACTCCCAGCTTGCCTGAGCAGCATTCCCAGTTTGGCCAGTGAGGTTTGGAGGGTGTGGGTGGGTGGGAAAACGTCCCCAAAGACATTGGGGGTGCATCAGGTGTCTCCCCTCCTCTCTGGTACTCACGTGTATTTTCGGGTGAAGCACCTGGAGATGAAGCCATGCTCGTCCTGCTTCTCCTCGTGTTTCCCTGCAAGGAAACAAAACTCTCAGTGGTTGGGTGGGAACCTTTCCTGCCCCACCCCAACACTTGTGAGGGGCTGATTCTGCCCATCCCAGGGCTGATTCTGCCCATCCTGGGGCTTTTGCCATAATATCAGCCTGGAGCAACATGACGGGTCTGTCTGCAGGGCCACCCTGGGTGCATCCCCCAAGTTTAGGCAGAGAAAAATGCGGTGCCAGGAGGTGGGGGGGCCAAAGGGGCCCAGCAGTGTCCAGCTGGCCCCACAGCTTGGCAGGGCAGGAGATTGAGCAACCCTCTGTCCCTGAATTCATCTGGGAACTGCCCCCATTCCTTGCAGGCCCTCCCTCACAGGGCAGGGAGCACAGCCTGGCCTCGTGCCACAGATCTGGGTTTTGTCACAGCATCCAGGCTGCTGTGGGGGCTGCGGGGCTCACGACACCCCAGGACCCTCTGTGGCTCCATGTGTCCTTCCAGAACAGCAGCAAGGGGTCAATGTATGGAGCTGAGGGGGTCTCTGCACCTGAGTGCGCCCTGAGATTGAGCTGCAATGCTGGGCCTTCCTCCATGCCTCAATTTTCTCTTCCCCTTTCTCCTCCTCTCTCCTCTCCTCCATCTCCTGCTTTTCCTTCCCCTTATTCCCATCCCTTTTCCCACATTTTTCCCCCCATCAACCTCCAGCACAGCATCTCCCCCACCCAGGAATCCCCACCCCAGCACCCACCGGTGATCTCCACGATGTTATCCTTGGTTTTCACCACCAGCTCCTCGGGGGCGAAGTGGTTGACGTCCAGGGTGACCTTCCAGCTGTCGGCGGTCTGGC